TCCAGACCAGGGCGCCGCCGCCATCTGGGGAGCAGGCCTGTCCCAGGTCTGGTGAGGGGCGGCCTCTCCACTGCCTCCCCGACTCAGCGCCCTGCAGCGCCTGGGGGTGAACTACCCTCTGTCCTTTCTTCCTCCCCGGCCTAGCTCTTCTCCGAGGTCAGAGCCACAAGCCCCTCATCCCCAGCTCAGCCCGACCCTCTCTGGGCTGGAGAAGGGCTGGGGGCCGCAGACTCCAGAGCCCACCAGCCCCTCAGCCTGGCTGATTCCCACAGACCGGGTCCCCAGAGCTGTCAGAGGGAGACGGGAGGCACCAAAAGTGAGAGACGGAAGGCGGAGGAGGCGAAAGCAGGAGACAGACCCATGGAGAGAGCGAAACCAGGGGGCCTCTGGGCCCCTCGAGCAGTACCTGAAAGGAGCAGCAGCCCCAGCACCAGCCACTTGTAGAGCCCAGGAATCAACACTGGCCCCGCCATGCTCGCCCTGTCTCCAGCCCCAAGCCCGTGACAACGGAGGCTCCTGGGGGAAAACGTGTAACTGCCTGGGCTGCAGTCTGCCTCCTCCCCGCCTCTTCCCCACCAGGCCCCTTCCTGCCATGCAAATTGGGACCCAGGGGAGGCACCAGCTCTCTGGGGACCCTGGGGGAGGGCAGGCTCTCTTGTCAGCTGTGCCGCTAAGACCCAAGGGTCACCCCAGCTTGGGCACTGTGGCTGGGGTCTGCGGTAGATGCCCCTGGAAGGCAGGGGCCCCTGAGGCCCCATCCCAACCCCCAAAGTCAAGTCTTGGGGCCCGTCGGCCTCGTAGTCCAGAGTCCCAGGCACTTAACTGAATCTACATGGCTCCTTTGGATGGATGTGGGCACAGTCCTTCCACCCTGGACCAACTTGCACCCTTCATTAAGGTTATTAAGAGGGGCACCCAGGAAGGATGGGGTAGGAGTGCTGGAGGGACAGTTATGGACCCAGAGCCCAGCCACTTGACTGGAGTGCAGGTGGCCATGTTGGCAGTTGATGGAGGTTTGACCTTGTGTAGGAAGGGAGCCACAGAGGCTCTTGAGCAAGAACAGGCCAAGAGCGGCAGCCACTTGGGAGAAGATCTGGTCCTGGCTCTGGTGAGAGGCCCCTCCTCCCTCACTTGGTGGGACAGTTTGCTGGGAGCTGCCAAAGACGGTGGACTAGGTGTTGATGGCTTAGAGAAAACCCACCACTTAGCAATCAGTGGACTCTCAGGGCACAGAAGTGTTATCCACAGCTCCAGGGGTCTGGAGTGGAAGACAAAAGGCTGGTCTGGGGGAGCCTGCAAGTTCTGAAACAGAAAGTCTCTCTGGCTTTTTCTCATCTGTCAGCAGAGCGGTGGATGGAACCTCAGAGTCTAGGAGCTTGTCTAAGCTGAACTATGTGCCCCTGCCCCCGGATCAGACACAGCCCTCATCCCTTGGGGTCTTGCGGGGGAGGTGCCCTTGTGCAGTGCACAACTTGCACAGCTGTCCTTGGCAGGCGTGCATCCCTCAGCCCCACAGCTGAGTTCTTGAGTTTTATGTATTATGGCATCTTCTTTACTCTCTCTTGGCCCCTTGCTCTGTCTCTTCCTTCACCCCCCAGGAGCGGAAAGAAGATGCTGAATCCTGTATCCTCTGCCCACATCTCATTCTCTTCACCACCTGCTAGTTTTCAAACAGTCTGTGCTGCTGGCAGGTCTGAGTTCTGGGAGACATGGACCTACCACCCAGGCCAGGGTTGCTGGTGAAGAAGGCAGAGGTCTGGGTGCTGGCCCCCTCAGTCCTGGGCATAGGCCTCACCTGGTACAGTGGCACCCCCCCACCCCCAATCTGAGGAGCACAGGTTGGGACTGGAGCTGTGGGAAGTGGGGACTGGGGAGTTCAGGTTCCATCCGAGAAACAGCTGTTCCCGGCAGTCCCAGATGTTCTTGCTGGTTCCAGATGTTCCAAATGAAGAGAAAAACATTTCTCTGAAAAGGTGTTGCATGTTCCATTCACAGAACAAACAGCCCAGGAATATAAACATCACCTGAGGTCAGCATGGGGACCACGGGCACCTGGTGCTGGGGGGGGTGGTGGTTGGAGACTCCCCCAGAGGAATGCGGGAAATCCAGGGGTCTCTTCCTTTAGCCAAGCACCTCCTGGTGATGGAGGACTTGGTTAGCTTTGGGGCTGGTGGCCCCCAAATTTGGGAGGAAGGTGGAAAAAGGTGGGGGTGCACCCGTGTGTGTATGTGTGTGTGTAGCTGCCAACATGGATGTACTGCCGAGTTGTAGGGTGTGAGGCTGTTTGGGAGCTGGCCTGTGGCCCAGGGTGCCTCTGGGGGGCCATGGAGGTTGGGGGTGCAGTGGGTACCCTCCAAACATACACACATGTCTGCATCTCCTGTGGGCAGCAATGCAGATGTGTCCTTTGGGCCTCATTCCCATTCATGCCAGGCAGGGATCTATTTTCAGGAGGGGGTGGGGGCCCCACCGTCTGCAGGGTTATTTGTCACAGGTGGGGCCGTGCTGTTCCGTCCGCAGTGACAACAGCACGGAGCTCCTTCCGAGGCTTGTGACGCTTTTTCTTTCCTGGAACAGGAGGCCTCGTAAGCCTACCTCCGCCTCTGCCCCCGGCTGCCCTGGGACCTACACCCCGACATCTGGCAGCTGCCACCCCACCTTTCCAGGAAGACAGCATCAAAACAAGAGATGGGTGTGTAGGGAGAATGGACAAGGAGCTCAGGGTTAGGGAAAGCAAGAGGGCAGGCACCCCCAGCATCCCCGGGAAGAGGTGGGAGGGCAGAGGCTCAGTATGGAAAGAATGACCTCTGCCCCTCCCCTAGCCCTTCCTCCCGGACTCTGCTCAGCGCGTTGTGACCAAGGTGGGCGGGCTCAGAAGGATGCGGGTTTGAGTAGTTACTGAGCGCGCACGCCTAGAGCCCGGGCTCTGCAACAAGAGGAGCCGCTGCAATGAGAAGCCTGCGACCTGTGACAAGGAGTACCTCTGCTTGCCACAACTAGAGAAAGCTCTTGCGCAGCACCGAAGACCCAGCACAGCCTAAAATAAGTAGATAACTAAGAGAAACCAAGCCAAGTCACAGAACATACATCTGAAAACAAAAAGGAGAGTGCTGGTTTGACTCCTAACACCAGCCGGGAAGCCTCCCCTGGTTACCTGGCGATTCTCAACAAAGGGTGGTCCTGCCCCACGCTGAGAGCCCTGGAAGTGCTCCAGGGCCGAGAGATTGAGGCGAACCCAGCTCTCCCGTGTTGCGGGCGGATTCTTTACCCTCTGAGCTACCAGAGAAGCCCTTCTAGGGCCATGGTGGTTTAGTTGCTAAGTTGTGTCCGATCCTTTGCGACACAGTGGACTGTAGCCCGCCACGCTCCTCTGGCCACGGGATTCTCCAGGCAAGAATACTGGAGTGGATTGCCATTTCCCTTTCCAGGAGGTCTTCCTGACCCAGGAATCGAAGCCAGGTCTCCTGCATTTCAGGCAGATTCTTTCCCGACTGAGTTATAAGGGCAGCCCCCTCCAGGGCCATGGCCATGGTCACCACTGGCATTCCTGGGCCAGGGGCAGTGAAGACACAGCAGTGGGTGGGGGGGGCAGAATTTCCCTGCCTCACCTGCCAACAGCACCCCAATTAAGCAACACCCATGCTTAACCTCTCAGAGACCAAGTTTACCCTTTAGGCAAAATACAAATAACTAATAAAGCCTTCTCTGTGTGTGCTCAGGGGCTTAGTTGTGTTGGACTCTTTGAGGCCCCCTGGACTTTAATCTGCCAAGCTTCTCTGTTCATGGGATTTCCCAGGCAAGAATACCGGAGAGGGGTTGCCATTTCCTCCTCAAGGGGATCTTCCTGACCCAGGGATCGAACCTGCGTCTCCTGCATTAGCAGGTGGATTCTTTACCACTGAGCCACCTGTCCTTCGCAGGGCAGCTGTGAGCCTTGAAGGGCCTCTTGTATCTGAAGTGCATGGTGATGTAGGTGGAGGCAGAATCTACCCTCAGGAGGCGGTGAGTAGCACTGATGTCTGGGGGAGGGATATGGTTCTGAATAGGAACCTCAGTTACGTTTATCACCAGGATTTTACCTTTTTCTTCCACCATTTAAGGATCAGGGGAAACATAGTTCGGGGTACTCTCAAGCTCTCCTGTCCTTAAGGACAGAGACCGCCCCAACCGAGGTTTGGAGAAACTTAAAGTGAGAAGGAGCTTTCCCGACCTCTGAGAAGGGGTTCAGTACCCCCATGGGGGCTCAGAGAACCCTGCTGGTACCCCACCCCCGCAGGCAAAGACATCCACAGGGTGGGAAGGGGCTCGAGGACATGGCTGAGGGAGGTTGGGGTGGCCTGTGGGTGCCCCTCCCCAGCCCCTAGGGGAGCCATGTAACCTCAGGACTCAGAAAAGGGGGATATAGAAATCTTGAAAGGGACTAAGTATTTACTAGCTTAGATGACAGCCCTGGCTGTCAGAAAGCAAAATTAAATCTAAACTTATATTTCGCTCACTGGGATTGTGGCCTGAGCTCACTACATAATATTTCTCTTTGTCATAGGTCCATGGGATGCTGGGTCTTCTGGGATCAGAGGCAGCATCTGGGGGGGATTGGGCCTCAGAAAACGGAAGGGCCACACCGTGGACCCACAGGCCTTGGGTGAGGCAGAGAAGTGATGAGGGCTTCCAGAGAGGAGGGTCTGGGCACATGGGTCCCAACACCTATTTCCTGGGTGCTGCTGTGGGCAGGGAAAGGCACTGTGGTGCTGCCTGTAAGCGGGGAGGGCAGGGTTGAGGGACCGACTCCCGACCTCATCTGGCCTCTTGGACACCAGCTACAAGGCTGGGTTCCAGCCTCCTTTTGGAGAGGGCAGGAGACAGCCAGACTGAGCCAGAGGGGGGAGCTTGAGCCCCTGCCCTCCCCAATTCGCTCCCGAAGGCTCCCCCACTTTTCAATCCCCCCAGCTCTTCTTGTCGCCCTCAGTTCCCATCAATGTCCGCACACAGAGGCACAGAAGGCAAAAGCATACCCGTCCGAGGCACCGGGAGGTTTATTATAAGAACTGTACAAAGGAGCCTTCTGCTGGCCTGGCTTGGGCCTGTTCCCACCCAGACAAGGTGCAATGGCCGTGGGTCTGCAGGGGGAGGAGGCCTGGACCCCGTTCAGCCACACTGGCTCTGCACCCGGCTCAGTGGAGAGAGTTCAGTCCAACAGAGGCTGAGGCTCTGGGGCCACACTCGTCCGGGCCCCGAGGAGGAAGAAGGAAAGGACGTGGGCAGGGTGCTGGTCAGAGAGGAGGCTGACCCCTGGAGGAACTTCTGAAGAAAGAGCCAGAACTGCTGCCGGGAGAGATGGAAGGAGCCGGGCCGGGGAGCGGGGCTGGGTGTGGGCGTGAGGAAGAGACGCAGAGAAGGCAGAGGGTGGCCTCACGGCGGTCAGAGAAAGGAATGCCCGAGCAGAGCGGCCGGGAGGCTGGCAAGCGGGGCAGACGGAAAGGAAGGGTCCGGCCTGTGGGCGTGCACGCAACACAAACACACATGTTGTTTGGAGGTTTTGCTGCTTCCTGAGTTTTAATCAAACTGTTCACGAGAAACAAGAAAAAGAAGAGGAACTGAGCTCAACGGGGGTGGGGTGGGGGGGCTCAATGTGCAAACCTGACCACGTGTGTTCACACTCACATACACACTCACAGCACAAGGACGCTTCCATGGACGGGCCGACAGAGAAGACACGCGCATACCCACTGGTTAAGCACTCCAGGGCACACTGACACACAGGCACACGGATATACACGTAGACAAATGCATATGCAGGTTCTATGGGACACAGTGGTCCACAGACTCACACGCACACACGCACAGGTGAGTAAATCCAGTGACCCCCAGCTGGCGTCTCACCCCCTCCTCCAAGCTCGGCCTCTGTCTGTCCTTGGGAGCCCAGATCAGTGATGCCAACAGAAGCACCGCACAGCTTCCAGTGGCCGGAAGTTGGAAGCTTGGGCCTGAGCCGGGTGAGCGGTGCCCGCCTCAGTGTTGAAATCTCGAACGTGAGCTCAGCTAGAACATTCTTAGGATCACTTTGAGGAGGGGAAGAAGGATGGGGCAAGAGGAAGAGAAGGGTGTGACGGGGGGTAAGGACGGGACCCTGGGGCTGGGGAGGCTGCCAGGAGCCCAAGTGGTGCTGATGGAGGAGGGAGGAAGGCAGGGGGTAGGGAGGGAATCTTCTTCCCAAGCCCCAGGGACCCCGACCCCACCCCAGATGGGGTGCTCAGGCCAAGGAAGCCCCCAGCTTAGCGATACACTGGTGGGATCCAACCCGTGCTACCCACCCCCTCATGCTTTCGAGAAAAAGATAATTCCCAAGGGGACTCTTCCCTTCTGCTCTTCTCCCAGGGGCCAGCCAGGGAGCTGGGGGGCCTGGGCAATGGATGAATCGGGAAAAGATTCAGGGGCCACAACCCAGCCCAATGTCTCAGCATCCAGTGGCCCTCCCCCATCCCCACCGGGTATGTGGAGCCATTTCTGAACCAGGGGTGTTTTCCTTCTCCTGAGAATTCCTGAGCAGGCAGGGTGAGCCACATCCCAGAGGCCGGACAGGGTGGCAGGCCCTGGGCTCAGGTGTCTGCTCTCACTGAGGTTAAGACTTCCTTGTCCCAGAGGGAGCTGGAGGCCTGAGCCACTGCCTGCGGAGAGGTCAGTAGCCCTTAAGACTGGGGGCAGGAGGGCAGCCAATCCCTCCATCACAGGCCGGCTCCTCCCAAGTCGGGGGCAGAGACGCTGATGTTCTGACCTCCCCGGAGCTGTGAGGAGGGCAGCAGGGCCCATGAGGAGGTGAGAGCAACTTGAAGGTAAATTTCGCGGAGGCAGCGGCCTCAGCCCAGAGTGGAGACTTCAGGTACAGTTCCCCCTTCCACGGCCTGGGTGACAGCCCAGCATGGACAGAGCCCGTCCCCAACAGGGAGCTGAGTCAGTCCCAGATGCACAGCCTAGCTCCCTCAGCGGCAGGCAGCGAGGGGGTGCTTCGGGGCTGTGCCACCTCACCACCACCTGCTAGACGAGAGACTCTTTGACCCCTGGGCGCACCGTCTGCCCCGGGGGTGGGGCAGGAGGGAGGGGTGCGTCGGAGGGGCTGATGGGCCTGAGCCCCATGGCAGGTCCGGGGTCCCCTGCGGAGCCCCTCTCCTCCTCTTTGCTTGGCACACCGCTGTTCCCGTTGTCGGGGCCGTACATCTTGCTCATGGTGTCAGCAATCAGCCCCTCCTTCTCGGGGGCCCCATCCCCACCGCCGTCATGGTTGTGGCGGTACATGTAGGATGCCTGCTTCACGGAGCGCTGCAGCAGATGCCGGCGGTAGGCCCTCTGGATCTTGATGGCACACACTTCCTCATGCTTCCTCTTGAGTGTGGTGGTGATGGGCTCGTAGGAGACCTTGGAGGGGTTGGCGGCCATGAACTTCTCCTCCATGGTCTCCTTGAGGGCATCCATCTCCCCGGAGTCGCCCAGGACTTCTTTGGTCAGGGCAAAGAGGATGTCCAGGCAGTGGATCTTGTCTCCCGGCACCATGGGCAGGTCCAGCGTGATGAGCTTGATCTTGTTGGGCTTGGCGATCCTCAGTGGCTCCTGCAGGGTGTCCACGAAGTCAGAGAGGCGGCTGTAGTCAATGAACTGCGTGGCATCGGGGTCAAACTTTTCCCACGTCTCATAGAACATCTCAAAGTCATCCTCCCCGAGAGGCTCGCTGCTCTCCTCCGTGGCCACGTTGAAGTTCTCCAGGATGATGGCGATGTACATGTTGACCACGATGAGGAAGGAAATGATGATGTAGCTGCAGAAGAAGCAGATGCCGATGGAGGGATTACCACAGTCGCCCCGGACGCTGGTGCCCGGGTTTTCCAGGTTGGGGTCACAGTCGGGGGGCCCGCTGTTGAGGATGGGGTTGAGGAGCCCGTCCCAGCCAGCCGACGTGGTGATCTCGAAGAGACAGATGATACTGTTGCCGAAGGTCTCGAAGTTAAACATGTCATCAATGCCCGCCTCCTTCTTGACGTAGGCGAAGTTGGACATGCCGAAGATGGAGTAGATGAACATGACCAGGAAGAGGAGGAGGCCGATGTTGAAGAGGGCGGGCAGCGACATCATGAGCGCGAAGAGCAGCGTCCGGATGCCCTTGGCCCCGCGGATCAGCCTCAGGACCCGCCCGATCCGCGCCAGGCGGATCACACGGAACAGCGTGGGTGACACGAAGTATTTCTGGATCAGATCGGAGAGTGCCAGGCCTGCAGGGAGGGAGGGGTGAGGAAGAACTGCTGCCCTGGGGGTGGGCGGCAGGGTCAGGGAGCAGGGGGTAGGCGCAGCTCCAGGGGGCATGGTGTGCTGGGCCCATCTACCCCAGGAAGGAGCAGTAGAAACTCATCGCTCAGTGTACAGCCCAAGTGGCCTGACCCGTTAGACTCTCCTAGGGCTCTTGGGGCCCCAGGCTCCATCTCTGCCCAGACTCAGCCGGGTGCAGGTGGGATGTGCCAAAGTGGATGGAAGGGCGGGTAAGGCCCATTGCCAAGGCTGTTCACAGACGCCATGGATGGGAGGGAGGGGGAGGACAGCTCTGGATGTGTGACTATGGGCATGTCGCCTACCTGGTTTGTGACTCAGTTTCCTCACCTGTAAGATGGAGGTGACAACAGTCCCAGTCTCAGGACATTTGTTAGGAACAATTACTGAGCTAATACTGTGAAGTGCATGGCCTAGTGTCAGGCAAACTGCAAGTGATGGATAAATGATAGCTAGTTACTGTCATAATTACACACACCTCCCCTATGTGTAAGGCTCCTAGAACCATCTTCTTCTGTTTTTAAAGTTTATTTATTCAGCTGAGATGGGTCTTAGTTGTAACATGTGGGATCTTTAGCTGTGGCATGCGGGATCTAGTTCCCTAACCAGGGATCGAACCTGGGACCACTGCATCAGGAGTGCAGAGTCTTAGCCACAGGGCCACCAGGAAGTCCTGGAACCATCTTCTTATGTTTTTCCCGAAGCACGTGGGCACCTGAATGTGCATCTTCAGGTCAGGTGAATGCTTCTGGAGCTGTGGTCATGTGTGCACGGGGAACAGGCTGCCTGGGAACCCACCGTATGTGCTTCTGTGCATTTAGTATAGACACTGGGTACATAGGCAGGGGTGTGTGTGTGTGTGTGTGTGTGTGTCTGTGTAAAAGCATTCCCAGTGTATGAGCAGGTGTGCATGTGGACACGAGGAGGGGGACCCCGGGCCTTCCTGTATGACTCAGCCCAGCCTGGCCCTGCTCACCCACAATGGACAGGATGACAACCACGAAGTCGAAGATATTCCAGCCGACGGTGAAGTAGTACTGGCGCAGGGCCAGCATCTTGAGCACGCACTCGCCTGTGAAGATGATGATGAAGACCATGTTGATGTTGTACAGGATGTCCACCTTGAGCTGGCTCTGGTCATCCGTCTCCACCATCATGGTGACCATGTTGAGGCAGATGAGGATCATGATCGTGATGTCAAATGCCTGCTTTGTCACCAGGTCATACACCAGGCCCTGGATCTTGTTCTACAGCAGGGGTGGGAGTGCGGGGAGGCGGGCGGGTGGGTGTGGGGGGCAGTGGTCAGAGCAGGACGTGGACCGGCAGGAGGTGCGAGAAGACACGACGCAAGAGTATGGGGGGCGGGGAGAGAAAGAGAGAGAGAAAGAAGGCATTAGAGCCTGTGGTGGAGTCGGCCAGGGCTGGGGGAGGCAGGGAGACCCATGGAAACGGGCCATTCTGTGGGGTCTGTGGGCCTCCTTCCTCTCTCTGGGAACTTCCTGCCGAATTAAGGGCCCTCAGCAACCCCTCATCCTTCTCCCGAAGTGGTTGCTCACTGGGGAAGCTGTCTGGACATCCTCTTCCTCCCCTTGCCCCCAGAGGCCATCAGCTAAGGCGCTGAATGGACACCGGGGGTGCCGTGCAGGGCTGGGCAGGGGGTAAGCCAGTGCCGAGTTTATCAAGCCGCTGCTGCCTGAGAACCTCATTTTGGACAGAAGGAAACCGAGGTTCTCAGCGGCCCCATCACTGGTTCAAAGTCACCTGATGGGATCGGAACCCAGGCTCACCGCCTCGATCAGGTGCGTGCACAGCGTTTGTGAACATACGAAGGAAGGAGTGGAACATACAAATGGGGTGGGAGGAGGGAGCCTAGCGAGGGGAGGACCCAGGGGGAAGGAGGGCTGGATACTCATCTTCTTCTTCTGCTGGTTGAAGTTGTCGATGATGACGCCAATGAAGAGGTTGAGGGTGAAGAAGGAGCCGAAGATGATGAAGATGACGAAATAGAGGTACATATAGAGGTTCACCTCGTACATCGGCTGCTCTTCCTTCTGTAGCGGTCACAGGACAGGGGTGGGTGTGCGGGCTGGGCAGGGGGCACACGCTGCCTGCTCCCTGTCCCACTGTGGGCCCATCTACCCCTGTAGGCGGTGGGGTCTCGGGGGCTCCCGAGGAGGCGGCATGGGGTGGGGATGGATCTGAGTCCTTTCCCCTGGCTCACTCACCGGCCACATCTCGGGGACCCCCACTCACCTCCCGGGAGTCCACGGCGGCATACATGATGTCCATCCAGCCCTTGAAGGTGGCCTGCGAGAGTGTGGTTGGGTGTGAGGGGAGGGGCTACTCCCTGCTTCCACCATCCATGAGTTTCCCTCCCGCTCTGGCATGGTCCACCCCAGAAGCTGCCTGCTCCGAGTCCCACTGGGCAGGCATCAAAATACAGACAGGTATGGACACGACCTCTGGGTCCTCCAGCCCTGGAAGTGGGTGGGGGGTTCCCTAATGAGGAGTGGCCGTGGGCTCAGTCCCAGTGAGATTCCAGGGGCATCTCCACCCCCGCCTCATGCAGGGGCTGCACGTCACACTCACCACCTGCAGGAGGGAGAGGTAGCCCAGACCCACATTGTCGTAGTTGACCTTGACGTTGAGCCAGCGGACCTGGCCCGTGTGCATCAGGCTCTCGCACTCGGACTTGTTGTTGACCTCGTCGACTTCGAACCGCTCGGAGGTGGTGGTGTTGATGCAGTAGTAGAACTTGCCGGCAAATAGGTTGACGCCCATGATGCTGAAGATGAGCCAGAAGATGAGGCAGACAAGCAGCACGTTCATGATGGAGGGGATGGCCCCCAGGAGGGCATTCACCACCACCTGGGGGGCCGGTGGTGGGGAGGGAGTCACTGCCAGATCCTCTCCCAGGCAGCAGGGTGGGGGGCATCACCCAGTCTCCTCTGGGAAAGAGCTCCCCACCCACACCAACCAGGGGGGCCAGGCAGGGAAGACTTCCTGGAGGAGGGCTGATCTGAATGAACCAGGCCTGCAGGAGAAGTCTACTGGGCTTTTTGTGGGGGTGGTGGGAGCAGGGAGCTGGGGTAGGGGGTTGCCGGCCTGCTGGCTGAAGAGGGCTCTCTGCTTCGCTGGAGCCAACAGCCCAGGGTGGGGAGCTGGGCTTCTCTGGAAGCAGCCTGGCCACGGGTCACCAGGCAGGAGACAAACACTCTTTCCTCGGCCCCCATAGGAAACTCAGTCCCCGTGACCTGGCCCCCCGGCTCATCTGCTCACAGGATTAGAGACAAAGACCCAGAAAAAAACGGGGCCTTTGAAGCAGCAGGAACCTTGGGGACTGGAGCTCTGTGCTCAGCCAGCCCTGGCCACACAGGCCAACCTCATTGTTTCCGGCAGAGCTGAATCTGAGAATTATCTGTTTTCAAGGAGAAGGAGTTTCATGACCTCCAGACAAAGTGAGTGGTGTAAGCCCGGTGATGCCCAGGGCAATTCTATTCCTGGCTGGGTCACCAACCAGCTCTGTGGCTACGGCCGGGTCATTTTCCCCCAGTGGGGAGGGGTCCCTGGCTGGGCCGGGCTCTTGTATGGGAGACCCCAGGCTGAGTGCCCTGCTGACCTGCAACCATCTGCTTCGTGGAAGTCTGTCCCCGCCCCCAGAACAGGCCTTGCTCTTAACAGAACCCCTACTTCCACCTCTGGCTGGGGAAGTCCCCTTGGTCTTGCCTGAACCCTGTATTTACCTGTCACTTCTGCCCTCAAGGGCCTGAGGGAAGGATGGGCAGGCTCGGAGCCCTGGGGGGCCCCAGTCTGAGGCTGGGGAGAGTCACCTATAAACCCACAGACCTCCTTCCTCTCCTCCTGCCTGGGTGCCCTCAGGCCCCTCCTGGGGGCGGCTGCAGCCTCTGCTGCCCCCTGGTGGTGGCAGAAAGGAGTGACGGAGGGACTGAGGGCAGGCCCGGGCACCTGGGCTGGTGTGTGGGGGGGGTGCCTTTTGCTGTTGTTTTTGCTCAGTCGGGTCCGACTCTTTGCGACCTCGTGGACGGCAGCCTGCCAGGCTCGTCTGTCCTCCACCACCTCCCAGAGTTTTCCCAAATTCATGTCCATTGAGTCAGTGATGCTACCTAACCATCTCATCCCCTGCCACCCCCTTCTCCTTTTGCCATCAGCTGCCGGGGGGCCCCTCAGACCTGGACTGCCAGTGGTGGCCAGAGTACAGACACGCCCCCAGCCCCCTTCCAAGCTGTGGCTGCTCCCCCAATTCTTAGCCCTACTCACAGTCCCCCTCGACACCCACCCTCATGCCCTCGAATCGAGACAGGGCCCTCAGGGGGCGCAGGGCCCTCAGCGTCCGCAAGGATTTGATGGGTCCCAGCTCCGAGTAGCCCAGCCAGTTGGCCACCAGGCTGATGATGGAGACCTGCAAACGGGAGGGCGGGTGGTCAGGGAGCGCAGGGCCTCGGCCCCAAGGGGGCCCTCCGGATCTGGCTCCGGAGTGGGCGGTGGGGCCGGACGGGGTGGGGCGGACTCACGTCCACGATGAGGAAGTCGAGCCAGCACCAGGCATTGGTGAAGTACACCTTGAAGCCGTAGGCCACCCACTTGAGCAGCATCTCCAGGATGAAGATGTAGGTGAAGACCTTGTCGGCGTATTCCAGGATGGTGCGGATGACTCGCCGCTGCTCGATGTGGATGTCCTCGAAGGCCTGGGGGCACCAGCAGGCGGGTGGCCAGGGCCCGGAGGCTGGGGCAGCAGCCACATCCCTACGGCTGCCGGTTCCCAGGGGTCTGGCACTGGGGTCAGGTGCGGGGGCAGACTCCCTGCGCCCATCATGGGGGTGAGCAGGGGAGTTCCTGGTCGGGGGAAACCCCTCAGCTCCCCTTCCCCAGGCCTGATGAAGGGAATGCTCACTAACCTGCAGGGGGGTTTGCTGTGACACAGGCTGGCCCCCCTGAGCCCACATTCCCTTCCCACCTGCTCCCTGGTCAGGACTGGTCAGCCACGGAGGCACATGGAGTCAGAGCCCATCTGCCGCTTCGTGAAAATGAGCAGTCTGCCACACACCCTGGAAGCACTGAGTTCTTTAGGGCTCTCTGGGTTCGGGCCTGTCCAGCAAGTGTTCCTCCCACGATGCAGAAAGGAGAGAGCCCTGGGACAGCCTGCTTCCGGCCTGGCCCCTGCCCCTGCCCTGCCCGGCCCCCAGGGCAGTGCCTACCAAGGCCCCACTGCTGAGCAGGATCATGAAGACAATGAAGGTCTCGAACCAGTTGTGCTCGACGATCTTAAAGCAGGCCCTGCGGAGGGTCCACCACTTCTTCCCTCGACCCTGGGAGATGTCCACGTAGAGGAAGGGAAAGCGCTGCACGCAGGCTGGGGAGGGAGGGCGGCAGGGGCACCCGTCACGGGCTGCCTGAGGAGCATGATCAGCCCGTTTCCCCCCTCCCCTTCCCAGGATGTGCCCCCTCCCCACCCGGACTGCATGCAGAGACACGCCAGAGAACAGGGATGCGGGCCACCCACGCAGGTTCCACGGCTGTCAGTGGTCCCCATCCTTCCCCACGTCCCCCAGGCAGCCTTCACTCTGCACAGCCCAAACCCTCTGGGCAAAGAATGTTCCTGAAGGGCCAGGCAGGCCTCTCTCTGGAAGATGAAGCTGAGGAGGACAGCCTTAGAGAAGCTAGTGCTGAGTGCCGGCCATACCCAGGGCTCTGGGGATTCTGTGCAGTAGCCCGCGGGCTGCTGGGACTGTCGCCCACGGTACACTCGGCAGGGGTCAGAGGGGGCGGGGGTTCAGAGGCATCTGCTCTGACACCCCTTCCCCAGGTCGCATTCTCCAGGGTGCGGAAGGGCAGGGCATCATCGGAGGAAGAAGGCCCTGCCTGATTTTGGTGACTCGCCTGTCCCTAAGCCGTCCACAAGGAGACGGTCAGCTGAGGCTCGCCTTGGGCCCTGGCCTGGCCTGCCCCTTCCAGGGTCTGCCGGGCTGGGGGAGGCACCCCGGTGGGCTGGCCCTCACCCTCGGTGAAGCACTCCTCCGGCTGCTCCCCATCGGGGTTCTCCTCGGCCTGCTCCTCGGGGTCGTCCTCGGGGGGCTTGTAGTCGGCAGTGCTGCAGACGGAGGAGTTCCCGTCCAGGGGCTGCAGCGGCTTCTGTGGAGGCCACAGGGTCACGTGACCCCTGGATCCTCCCTCCAGGTGGGGCAGAGGGGGTCTAGCTGGGAGCCCCGAGGGGAGGGCCCAGAAGGGAGAAAGGGAAGTGGGGGTGGGGGAGGTGGAGCAGACTCATTCATTCACAGACTCATTCATTCATTCAGCCCTGGATTGTGGAGCCAGCACCAGGGTCTGTGCAGAAGAACCCAGGCCTTGGCCCTGACCTCGGGGCACTTGGATTTGAAGAGGCCCGAGATGCTGGCTAGGGAGGGAAGGGGTCAGGATGGAGCAAGGTCTGAGCCTTCCTATCCCCTGTTCAACTGAGGAATCCAGGAAGGATGGGGGAATCCAGAAAGGGTTGGGGGGGGGTGGCTGGTACTCCAGCCTGGCCAGACCTCCCTCACCTCCTCCTGGCCCAGCCTCCACTCCTCAAGGGCCCCCCTTCATGGCTGGGGTGAGGCCCCTGGAAAGGAAAATGGAGAGGGTGGCGGGGTGGGGGCAAGGGGCAGCTGTCAGAATGGTGGCCAGAAAGGGAGGGCCTGGTGCCCAGTTGACAGAAAGGAAAACTGAGGCACGGGCCATTAGGTCGGGCCAGATGCCCACTGAGCCACTGGCCCTGCCTGTGCCCCTCACCTCCCACCGCCCCTCGGGAGCCGTGCCTGCCCCCTCCAGAGTCCCCAGCGCCTTGGCCCGGCTGCTGTCCGGCCCTCCTCCACCCCCACTCCTCATACCGAGGTTGGTGCCACGTTTCCCGGGGTATTTATAGCTTGGCAGGCGCTCGGCTCCCTGGTAAGTTAGCATGCCACGTATTTGGGGGGAATAAGGAGTCAAGAGCTTTCAGGGCAAAGTTTATTCAGGCTCTGGTGACTGCTGGGCCCACGTTGCCAGGGTGGGGCTGGGCAGGGGGCCCTGCCCTAGCTTACGTGCTGATCCTTCCCCTGATGGAGCTGCAGGGTGGGTGAGGGGCTCAGCCTGAGCTCCTGGGGGCAACCTCTCGCAGGGGAGAGGCGGGGGTAGGCGCCAGGGGTCCAGCTGAGGCTGGGCTCTCCATTTCTCCTTCAGCTCCATCCCACTGGACCCCCGACTCCCTCTCCTCAGCGTCCCCAGCCCAGACCTGGCACTCCGGCCCACGGTGGGAAGTTGGGACCGGGTCCCCCCCACCACCAGTGGGGGTCTACACAGAAATAGATGATAATAGCAAGAACTTGGTAGGGGCTTCTTAAACCTAGGGCAGGGTTAAGAGAGGCCTCTTGGGTTCCAGCCCCGATTTAGGCGTCTCAGGTGAGAATATGCTATCTCACAGCGCCACCTGCTGGTGAGAGGGGACCCAGGCGGCGCTGCGGGCCAGGAGTGCAGGGAAGAGGCGGAGGGTGTTCAGACAGGGGGAGCGGGTCATAATAATGGTATTTATAAGTCACCACTCACAGAGCTGCTCTGCACACAGCATCTCATCTAATGCTCACAGTAACACCACAAGGCAGGTACCATTACCCCACCTTACAGATGGAGAAACTGAGGCTTGGAGAGGCTGTGTGCCATGTTCAAGGTCACACACAAACGCAGAGCTAAGCGTCCCCAGCCCAGACCTGGCACTCTGGCCCACGCTGGGAAGTTGGGACCGGGTCCCCCCCACCACCAGTGGGGGTCTACACAGAAATAGATGATAATAGCAAGAACTTGGTAGGGGCTTCTTAAACCTAGGGCAGGGTTAAGAGAGGCCTCTTGGATTCCAGCCCTGATTTAGGTGTCTCAGGTGAGAATATGCTATCTCACAGCGCCACCTGCTGGTGAGAGGGGACCCAGGCGGCGCTGCGGGCCAGGAGTGCAGGGAAGAGGTGGAGGGCGTTCAGATAGGGGGAGCGGGTCATAATAACGGTATTTATAAGTCACCACTCACAGAGCTGCTCTGCACACAGCATTTCATCTAATGCTCACAGTAACACCACAAGGCAGGTACCATTACCCCACCTTACAGATGGAGAAACTGAGGCTTGGAGAGGCTGTGTGCCATGTTCAAGGTCACACACAAACGCAGAGCTGCATCTGGATGACTCCCTGCCCCTGGGTCCGGGCCTTGCTACGGGCTTACCTTGACATCCTCAGGCTCGGAGAAGGTGTCGGTTTCCTCCTCTGTGGGCATCTCCAGGTCAGACTCCTCGGAGGCGATGGGCACGTGGATGGTCAGGTAGGGGTTGTTGATAAAGTTGAGGTGGTCCAACTCGATGCTGGGGGGAGGGCCGTCAGCCAGGCCCATGTGGTTCAGGATGTGGTTGTCCTTCTTGAGGTCCTTGCCATCCTCCTCGGGTGGAGGCTCCTTCTTCTCGTCCTCGGGGGCGCTCTCCGGAGCCTCGCCGGCCTCCCCAGCCTCGCCGATGCTTCCGAGGCTGAGCATGATAACCTTGGGGCTCAGGACTTTGCCATGAAGCAGCCCCACGAGGAAGGCTTTGGCGAAGCCGATGCCCCACTTGATGCGAGCGATGGCAATCTGCAGGTTGTTCATCTCGCCATCCTCATCCGAGGCTGCCAGGCTGTCAGCACTGAAGGAGCTGAGCAGCAGGGCCAAGAACAGGTTCAAGACCTGGAGAGCAGGAGGGGAGGGGGAGCCCGAGCTCAGCTGTGGGGCCCCGAGGGTGCCATCCTCAGGCCACGTGAGGGTCCTCGGGCCTCCAAGCCAGACCTACCTCACGGTGGGCATTAAAGAGGGGCGTCATCTAAGAGAGGGCGTCCCTGGTGGCTCAGATGGTAAAGAATCTGCCTGCAAGGCGGTAGACCTGGGCTCGACCCCTGGGTCGGGAAGATTCCCTGGAGAAGGGACTGGCTACCCACTCCAATATTCTTGTCTGGAGAATTCCATGGACAGAGGAAGCTGGTGGGCTACAGTCCTTGGGGTTGCAAATGGTTGGACACAACTGAGTGACTAAACAGCAACCGCAGCACCTAACAGAACCCTCAAGACGGCTTGTGGAGCTGAGGAGTGCTACCGTCATGCCCACTTTACAGATAAGGAAACTGAGGCTTGGGCACGAGAGGACTCTGCTGACCACGGCGGAGGCAGGGTTTGAGGAGGCCCACTGGGTGACAGGGACTCTTCCATGATTCTGTCCTCCACTTCCACTGCTAGGGGACGCAGATCAAAAACTAGGGCTCATGTCTCCAAGCTTCCAGGACTTATTGGGAGCCTGAAAATTTTGAGCCTTTCTCTTGTCTTGTAAGTGGGACTTTTAATAGTCCATGGGCTCCTGGTACGTGCTCGTGTGTCCTCAGTCATGTCTGACTCTTTTTGACCCCATGGACTGTAGCCAGCCCGATTCCTCTGGCTGTGGGTTCTCCAGGCAAGAATGCTGGACAGGATTGGGTTGCCATTTCCTCCTCCAGGAGATCTTCCTGACCCAGGGATCGAACCCATGTCTCCTGCGTCTCCTACGTTGGCATGTGGATTCTTTACCACTAGTGCCACCTGGAATTCCCAGTACTCAGACATCTGTGTCCCGCTGCTGTGGAAGGACATCTGATCGACCTCGGCCCACTCCCTTTTCTTCCCCTGGGGTTCCCTGCTCTATTGGAGCTCTTCTCTTATCCCCACTGAAAGGGACGTAAGAGGCTCCTGGTCTACCTCCCTCAGCTTTGTTTTTTGGTAGATATTTACTGAGCCCCTCCCACTATCTGCAGGAATGACAGGCCTCAGTTTGCTCCCAGCCTAGAGACAGACATTTGATCAGGCAAATAAAACGCAGTGGGTTTGCACAAAGTAGAGACTGGGGGTCACAGGCTTTGAAATCATGCGGCTTGGCTTTGAACCCCAGTTCATTAGCTATGTGTTCTGAGGCAAGTCCTATCGCTGCCTCGGGCCTCTGCCTCCTTATCTGTGCAATGGTGATAGATTCCAGTACCAACCTCCTTGCACTGTTGTTGTGAGGATTGAAAGGTCAATACAACTAGAGCGCACAGTAGGCGTTCAAAATGTGTGGGCTGTTATCTGTGCAGTAATAGAAGGTTTTACACGGTAGAAGGAGTGCGATTAACTCTGAGGCCAGCTCTGCATTTTATGAATGAGGAGCCTGAGTTCTCCCAGAGAGGTGGAGTGACTTGCCTGAGGACACACAGCACATTCAGAACTAGAATCCGGGTTTCCTGTCATTGCACAACTTTATGTGTGTGTGTGTGTGTGTGATCAGTCATAGCCAACTCTTTGCAACCCCATGGACTGTAGCCCGCCAGGTTCCTCTGTCCATGGTATTTCCCATGCAAAAATACTGGAGTAGGTTGCCATTTCCTACTCCAGGGGACATTCCCAACCCAGAGATTGAACCCAAGTCTCTTGCATCTCCTGCACTGGCAGGTGGATTCTTTACCACTGACACTACCTGGAAAGCCCTGCACAACTTTAGAGGACATTCTTTATTTAGACTACAGTGTGAATGGCCACCCTAGCGGCTGTGCAATGCAGTGGCCTTGTCTTCCACCAACCCACCTCTCAGGACAGTGAGGAGGACGGCGCAGCCTGACTGAGGAGGCGGTGGTCCTGGCTCCTGTCAACCAGAGGCAGGTCTTATTCTGGGGGCCTCAGGGTGGGGCTGAGTGTGTGACTGGACATGCAAGAAGTAGGGTCAACTGCATGACGTCATTTTCTATCGGATTTGAGTATCCCCAGATTTTGGTATCTGCATGGGGTCTTGGGGGCTTCCCTGGTGCCTCAGATGGTAAAGAATCTGCCTGCAGTGCAGGAAACCCGGGTTCGATCCCTGGGTTGGGAAGATCCCCTGGAGAAGGGAATGGCTACCCACCCCAGTATTCTTGCCTGGAAAACTCCATGGACAGAGGAGCCTGGCGGGCTATAGTCCATGTGGTCAACATGACTGAGCAACTAACACACAGAGGGTCTTGGAACCAATTCCCTGAGTGACCAGGGGAGGGCCGTACACATGAATCTGTCTGGCTTTCACCAGTGTCCTCTAAGGTCTTTTTGTCATTGTCTTAACTATCATGTTGACATATCTTTACAGGGAGGGAGTTTCAAGAGGGAGGGGATATATGTATACTTAAAACTGATTCACATTGTCATACGGAAGAAACCAATGCAACATTGTAAAGCAATTATCTTCCAATTAAGAATAAATAAATATGAACTGGAGCAGAAAATTTTAAAAAAATATATGTATCTATTACGTGTTGTTCGTCTTCTCTCTCTGGGGCAACATGCTGGGGGATTCGCTCCGTCACCACGCCTTTCGGCTACTGTCCTGCCTTTGCCCCCCACCACAATGTACTGGTCTTTCTTTCCCTCTCTGGGGGGAGGTGTCCAGTTGCCAGAAACACATCTGAGATGGGAATTAGCTGCTCTCTGGGTCACCAGGGTTTGCACACGGCTCCTGCCTGGGACAGAAATAGCCGCCCCAGGCAAGGCATGGGGGGTGGGTTAAATTAGGGAAGGGGAATGGACATTAGGTTCCCCAGGGGTGGGCTCCAACGGGTGGGTTCCCTATGACTTGGTCATTTCCTCTTCTTCACTCCCAAGGAAGTACTTGAGTGCCATGGACACTGGGGACCTGGGTCCCCACCCTCCCTGGCAGGGCGCCCCGTGCCCTCTGGCAGACACTTGCTTCCATGAGGCCTGGGAGGGTGGTAGGCGGGGCCAGTGCCCAAGGAGCTGGCAGCGCGCCTCCCCGGGCGGCTCCGCTCCCTTTGAGCAAAGTGGGAGAGCTGCAGAGCTGGGCCTGGGAAGGGCGTCCGGGTGTGTGTGTGTGTGTGTGTGTGTGTGTGTGTGTGGTGGCACACACAGAGGCAGTGTCGTGCGGTGCTTCTGCATTCTGGGACCTGACTGCTTGGGTTCAAATCCTGCACAGGTTTCTAAGGAACTCCCCTGGGCCTCTGCTTTCTTGTCTACAAAACAGAGATAAGACAGCACATCCCTGGGGCCTCCCTGGTGCTCCAATGGTTAAGACTCTGAGCTCCCAATGCAGGGGGGCCTGGGTTCAGTCCCTGGTTAGGGAACTAGGTCCCACATGATGCAACTAAGAGTTCACATGCCACAGCTAAAGATCACGAATGCCTCAAGGAAGATGAAAGATCCTGTGTGTCGCTACTGGGGCCCGACACAGACAATTAAAATTAAATATTATTAGAAGTTAAATATTTTCATATTTATTAATAATAAATATTAATGTTTATATTTTAATATTAATATTAAAAATATTAAAAAACCACAAAATCCAGCACGTACCACATGGAGGCTGGTGAGCATTAAGAGATCAACACCCCAGGGGACTACTCTGGTGGCTCAGTGGTAAAGAATCCACCTCCCAGTGCAGAAGACACAGGTTCAATCCCTGATCCGGGAAGATCCCACATGTCTCAGAGGGACTAAGTCCAAGCACCACAACTATTGAGCTCCGGCTCTGGAGCCCGGGGCTCGCAGTAACTAGAGAAAAGCCCTCAGAGCAACGAAGACCCAGCAAAGCCAAAAATAAATAAATAAGTACAATTTTTAGAAAAGAGATTAATACCTGGAAAGTGCTCAAAATGCTGTATGCGCATTAATAGAGGTCGGTTGTCACCACTCACTCTGATGCTAACTCGTGAGTATCACGAATGATGATACTGATGCTATTGTTGTGGGAAGGACACAGACTCAGTTTCTAGTCCAGGCTCAGTTTCACACTAGCCGTGTGGTTCTGGGCTGTGCCTCCAGAGAGCACAGAGCCAACATTACCTGCCTCACGGGGTTGTCAAGAGCATTAGGGATAATACACGTAAAGCCCCTGGCGCAGGAATGGCAGATGGCAGGAGCCCAATGCCTGGCGTGTGACACCAGTTGGGGCCGGGTGTGGAATCCACCAACGCTCCCTGACTGCCTGTAGGTTTTGAACTCCCCTGGTCTCCTGGGCCAAGCACTTTGCTGAGCACTTCGACGTGTGCCATGTATCTTTCCGACCACCCAACAGAGGAGTCACTACCCCCCTCATCCCCATTTTCCAGATGAGAAAAACTGAGGCCAGAGAGAGTGTAAATAACTTGCTCAAAGTTTCCCAGTCAGAAAGTGGCAAAGTAGGGGCCTGAAATGTTTTTGAGTTTACACGCACACAGAAACCACTGCGACCCTTAGAGTCGCTCCCAGGCCCCTTAAACTAGCCCTTACAGCCTACTCAGAGCCTGCAACCCCCTATCACAAATCCTGCCCCAAAGTCCTGCGGAGGCATCTCCTTTACGCTTCCTGCTCCCTAAGACCCCCTCCCAGAAGCAGTCGACCTGGGTTCTGCTGTCTGACTGTCCCCGGGGGCTCGGGACCCCATCCCACCGTCCCTTCCTCAGTCGCGGTGACGGTGACTCCCCCGGCCGCCGATCCGCCCCTGCCCCCTGCGGAGCTCAGCGTTATCTGAGAAGCGCTGACGGAGCAGCTCAAGGATTCCACCGGCCTTTGCGGAACGTGGGGACGTGAGTCTTCCCACCCGCTGTTGCCCGGGGTAGCGTCGCCCCCGCCCGGGGCGGCCCGGCACAGGTCTCCTGGTAGGAGTGACCCCGCCCGGAGGAGCAGGGTCGGCGGGGTGAGGAGAGACGCCCCCCTCCGCCCGGCTGCAGAAATTCTGGTCAGCTGGACCACGACCTCACATCCCATTTCTCCTGGGCCCCTGCGCCTCCTTCCCTCCTCCAGCGCCACACCCAGAAAGTGGCAGGATAGATGCAGTTCAGGGCATCTCCGCATCCTCCCAACACCCGGGGCCTGTTTCCCAGGAGCAGAGGGTGAGAGGGGAGGAGAACAGAAGGGCCAGGAGTTCCTGGTACCGACCCCACACTGTGCCTTCTTCCCCCAGGGGCAATCCTCCCGGCCACCCGCTGAGGCACGGGTCCCCAACCTCTGCGATTGAATGTCTGATGATCTCAGGGGGAGCTGATGCAATAATAACAATAATAGAAATAAAGTGTTAAGTGTTAGTGGCTCAGTCGTGTCTGATGCTTTTGCGACCCCATAGANGAGCACGCCCTCATTGTAGAATGCCAGACTTTTAACCATGAAACCTATATCAGGCAAATGAAGATAAGCCCAGGAGCCACTCTGCCATGTAATAGAGGTCCCCAACCTCCAGGTCACAGGATTCATACCTCCTGTCAAATCAGCAGTGGCATTAGGTTAGAAATAAAATGCACAATAAATGCAGTGTGCTTGAATCATCCAGAAACCAACAGCTCCCCAGTCCATGGGAAAATTGTCTTCCACAAACACAGTCTCTGGTCCCAAGAAAATTGGGGACTGCTTAGAAACATCCTCAAGCCCTGTAAGATAAGCCAAGGGAGTTTTTAATCAGCATCCCAGATGAGATGGAGTTGAAGATAATTTTGAGCAGCAGTGGTTTAGATGACAACATGTCCGCGGTGATTGCGTGAAAAGGTAGGAATCAAGGATCTTGATGTTTTAATCGCTAAAATTCCTTCCTTCCACTAGTAGATTGCAGTTTGCATCAGCAGGAACCCTAGTAGAACTATATCCTTTCTCCAAGGGGAAAGGGATAAAAAAGAAGTGAGTGAAAGGGAAAAGCAGGTGGGAGAGAAAGGAAGAGGGATGAGAGAAAGAGAGAAGTTGTATTATGTTCTTTCATGCACTAGACAACTGCTGCTGCTAAGTGGCTTCAGTTGTCCCTCTGGACTGTAGCTCTCCAGGCTCCCCTGTCCATGGGATTTTCCAGGAAAGAGTACTGAAGTGGATTGTCAAGCCCTCCTCCATGGATCTTCCCAACCCAGGGATCAAACCCATGTCCCTTACATCTTCTGCATTGGCTGGCAGGTTCTTTATCACTAATGCCACCTGGGAAGCCAGACAACTAATCCAACCCTAAGAAGGGAAGAGTCAGCTCAAATGAGGGGGTTTTCCTTATGTTGTAGGACCTAGCTTGGGTACCTTAAACTTAACTCTACTTTTAGGGCCAATTATTGGCATCTCCAGCAAGTAACTTTTACTTATAAGCATCTCTGCACTGTTGTAAGTGAGAAGATATTAATATAAGGGTGAGTCAACTCGATAGACATGAATATGAGCAAACTCTGGGAGACAGTGAAACACAGGGAAGCTGACATGCTGCAGTCCATGGGGTTGCAGAATTGGACACGACTGAATGAATGAACTGAACTGAGCCCCAGTAGAACCATTATTTAAATCCGTTGTTGTATATACCCTCAATAAGTGACATATAACCTGGTTATGGCACAAAGTGAAAATTAGAACTTACACTTGGTGCTGAAGCTAAACTCCTCCTCAACTAAGAAATAAATTCCATTCTAAACATTGACACTAGGTTAGAATTGCAAAGTGGGGAAAGAAATAAAAGAAGAAATTTAGTTGAGCCCTGTAAAAAATTTATCCCAGTGGCCATGAACAAACACAAGAGAGAGTGGGGGAAATAAAACCCTCTCTTCTGATGTAATAGCTTTAGTTAATTTTATTGTGCTAAGTAATCTGATTTCCTATAAATTAGCTGCTCTTTTAGCTGAGGCTCACTTAAAAAAAAAAGGCAAGATAATAAAATGTACAGCATTTATTGTGCATGCAGCACATCCAGGATTCATGACTTGGAACTCCAAATCAGAACGAGGAATTTGGAACACAAAACATAGAATGTGCAGCATGGCATTACATGGGGCCCAGCCGCGAGAACGCACAGAAAAAGTACAGTTGGCACTTTATAATTACAAGTGGTGCAACACTGTGGCAGAGATCGAGTGTTTTTAATGCATGTGACTCAATATGGAATGTTTCTGTTCGTGGTGTATAACTACTGACATTGACAACTGGCCAGGTGCTGTATGCCTACTGAATTAACAGAGGTTGGGGATAGATTTACCTAAGCAACAAACAGACACACACAGGGATGTCGATTTGTATTTGTATACAAGAGCACACAAACACCTATATACTCAATTTCATAAAGACAGATAACGTCTATGTGTTTATGTATGTCTGTCTTTATGAAATCATATCTTTTTGAAAAACATGTCTGCCTTTATGAAATATGTATTGTATACATATATATATAGAGAGAGAGAGAAAGAGAGAGAGAACATGTTTGTTAGGAGTAACCTACCATGCAGCAAGCAGCGCTTAATTGAAAATGTATTTTTGTGAGCCATTGGGAACAAGGTAGCTGAATAAAGAAACAGATAAGGTAGTTGAATAAAGAAACAGCAATTCTTTTATCTTCTGCCTTTTTTTTTTTTCTCTTATTTCCCCTATACTTAGTTCTAGGTTCTGTGACAACAGGTAACTAAACAAGCTTTAGGGTTTTATGGACAAAATATGAAAGTGTTTCTCCCCCTGGTTCTTTCAAAGTTAATTTTACTGGAACGCGGGTCAGCCTGACTCCGGCTATCCTGTCACTTTACCCAAAACACTAGGTCTCAGCGACTTGCACTGTGGTCCCTGGACCAGTGGCAGTGACATCACCCAGAGCTCATTAGAAATGCAGGTTTGGGGGGCCTGGCTCCGAGCTGCCTCACCTGACTCTGGGGGGCTGGGACTGGGAATCTAGGTTTCAAGAAACTCACAAAGAGTTTTGAAGCAGGTTAAAATTTGAGAGCCACTGGGTTAAACCATACAAAACTGCCATCTAGGGTCAGGGGAGGAATAAAACCATCACATATCAGTGATTTTACACAACACAGCTTCATAGGAAAAGAACCCTTCAACAGTCCGATTTAAGGGAAATAAACGCATGGATGGGCTCCCCTGGTGGCTCAGTGGTAAAAAACCCACCTGCCAAGGCAGGATTTTATGCCTGGGTCAGGAAGATCCCCTGGAGAAGGAAATAGCAACCCACTCCAGTATTCTTGCCTGGGAAATCCCACCGACAGAGGAACCTGGTGGGCTACAGTCCATAGGGTCACAAAGAGTCAGACACAAATTAGCAACTAAACAACAACAAAGGCATGGATATGCCTTGGACACTTGGATTTTCTGGGCAAAGGTGTGGAGCCACCCAGTCAGCCTCACTCACCACCAGGTTGCCGATGACCATGACCATGAGGAAGACAGTGAGGCACATGGCCTGACCAGCCACCTCCATGCAGTCCCACATAGTCTCGATCCACTCTCCACAGAGGATGCGGAAGACGATGAGGAAGGAGTGGAAGAAGTCGTGCATGTGCCAGCGGGGCAGGCTGCAGTCCGCGGCGATCTTGCACACGCACTCCTTGTAGCTTTTGCCAAACAGCTGCATGCCCACCACGGCGAAGATGAACACAATGATGGCCAGCACCAGCGTCAGGTTGCCCAGCGCCCCCACCGAGTTGCCGATGATCTTGATGAGCATGTTCAGCGTCGGCCATGACTTGGCCAGCTTGAAGACCCTCAGCTGCCGGGCAGGGGGAATGCAGGGGTTGGTGAGACCCAGGGACCCCTGGCCCAGCCTTGAGGCAGCCACAACCAGGGGTTGAACCCAGACCCTCAGCACTGAGAGCGCAGAGTCCTACCCACTGGACCACCAGGGCTTTCCCAGAAAGAACTCTTTCGAACAGCTCCAGCTCCTACCCCCTGAGGGATATGGGGCCTCAGTTTACCTCTCTGTTAAATGGGAATGCTCACATCCTACCACCTCATCCTCTTCACATGATCAAAAGAAAGTATCCTCATCTCTTACATATACAGGCTAAAACATTTGCAAGTGAAATAAAATCTCAGGATTTGCTTTAAGATACTCCCCCATAAAAAGTACAGGATGTTGATGGGTGTTGGAGCCAGGTGAAAGGTATACAGAGGTGTATCTTACTTTCTCTGTATTTTTGTGGATGCATGAAATGTCCCTACGAGGTGGAGAAAAGGATGCTAATTCAGAGTCCCAATCCCATTACTGATGAACTTCCTGAGCCTCAGCTTTCAGGTCTGCAATATGGGCTGAAGTCCCCACCCCACTGCCCCCCAAGTTCACTTAGGAGTGAAGCCCAAATGGCAGTTCCTGGGCTGTCATTGTGGTCTCCCAGCACCCCTGTGTGATAAGGGGGAGGGCACCTTTCTCCCTTTTGCCAGTAAGAAAGGTTCTGAGAGGCAGAGGGGTCCACACTAGGGCAGAGGGGCCTCCCTTCCAGCCCTCTAACTTCTTGGGGGTTTATACTTGTGTCCTCCGAGCATCCACACCCCACCCTCCCTCAGCCCGGGTGCTGGGGCCTTACGCACCAGCCGGAAGGAGCGGAGAACCGACAGCCCCTGCACGTTGGCCAGGCCCAGCTCCACCAGGCTGAGGGTGACGATGATGCTGTCAAAGATGTTCCAGCCCTGTTGGAAGTACTCGTAGGGGTCCATGGCAATGAGCTTCAGCACCATCTCAGCCGTGAAGATGCCTGTGAAGACCTGCAGGGGTGGGGTGTGCGGAGCCTCAGGGGCGCAGGGCCTCCGGGGTCTCCCACCCCACTCTTCAACCTCCGGGCAGAGCCCTCGAGGCCAGAGGAGAGGGTGACAGAGCCCCGAGGGGGCGGGCAGAGGTACCCATGGCCCACAGGTGTGTGTGAGTGAATGAGGAGCTGAACAGCCATCCCACCGGGCAGAGTGGGTACCGCTCAGAGACCGGGGCCCATCTCTTCCTGGCCTTGTGGCGGTGGGCCTGTCACTTGACTTCCTGGAGTCTCAACCCACTCATGATAATGTTCGACACTCGTAGAGCATACTGTGTTTCACACTGTGGCCTCATCAGTATCTTGATCTCCACGAAGCCGGGAGGGCTGATCACCACATTCATCCCAGAGAAGAGAGACTGAGGCTCTGAGAAGTCAGCGGCAAGCTCTTGGTCACGCTGCCCATGTGGGGTCAGGTCTCAAACCCAGGTCTTGGGGTACTTAGCTCAGTTTCTTGTCTCTATACCCTACAGCCTCTCTAACCTGGTTGGCAGGGGTGGGGCGGGGTTGGGGATCCCAGGACCCATAAATCTTGGTGGATTCGGAAATCTGGTGGGGGGGTGGTGTCAGACAGGAGGGAAAGTTGAGGATGAGTGAGAACCAGAGCTGATCTCCCACAATCCTGGACTTGTCTGAGGGCTTCAGAGCCCCTGAAAGCTCCCTGGGCACGGCCCCCACCTCCTGGCAGGCACCAGCTGCCCTGGGGCCACAGCCTGCCCGGGCACATGCTGAGCCCCGCCCAGGAGCTGTCCCTAACCATAGCAGGTGCCCAGACGGCAGCAGAGTGTGGGCAGGGGGTGGGCAGGCAGCGGGCCGGGCCCATCATGCACACCCCAGCAGCTGTGCGGCGAGTCTAGAGCCCGTCCTTGCCCCTCCAGCCCAGCCTGGCCACGGCTGCCTCGGGCATCTCCGTGGGGTAGATGTGCCTGCCTCGTGGGCTGGGGGAGTCCAGGGTCTGATTCCCGTGCCACCCACCCCAGCCTCGTCCTGCTCCTGGGCTCCCCTCACCCTCAGGGTGGGGGAAGCATCTAGCCCACTGGCCACCCTGGACAGACTGAGAAGGGAACTGGGAAGGGTGGGGCCAGGCTGGAGGAGGAGGCGGCGGCTTTTTCCCTTTGTCAGGCTCCACCGGGGCTGGCAACGAGGTGATAATGCTCCTAATGGGCAGGGATAAGCAGGCGGATCAGTGTGTGTCAACAATAGTGGAGCAGAAAGGGCTGAGACGGGAGCTGGCCTGGTCCTGCTGGAGAAATGGAGCGGGCAGGGGGCCTCAGGGCTGGGGGACGATGCCCTGGGGCCTTCAGGGTGAGCTGGGGCCTCTTGGGCCTGGGTGCCCATGGCTCTACACCCTATCTTCTGGGTCCCTTGGTCTTAGGCCCCCGGGCTAAGTCACTTCAGTCATGCCCAACCCTTGCCAACCCGGGGAACAAAACCCGCCAACCCCCAACGGCCAGGGGAATCCCCAAGCAAAAAACCCGGAAGGGGGTGCCAAGCCCCTCCCCAGGGGCCCACAACAACTTCTGAAAATGGAGAGACTTGCCATCCAGCACTTCACTCCCCACCCCCAAGCTCCCACTCCCCCATCTCTGCCTCCAGGGTATGACCTGGACTCCAGAGCCCCTAGAGTCCTGATTTTAAGAAGCCAAGTACTTCATCCTCACTCTCTCTGCCCCCAAATACCCCTAAGCCCAAATTCCATGGATCTCCCCATGTACCTCCCCTGGTACATCAACTCATGTCCCTGTGTACCTATATGCTAGGAAAATAACCCCAGCCTGTCTCTTTATGCCCCCTAATCGTGCCCCTCACTCCCACACAGCCCGTGGGCCCTGTGGCCCCTCTCCTGTCCTGCCTCCCTTGTCCCCCCCGTACCAGGTTGCCCACATTGAGCACACTGTCAAAGTGTTCTGTCATCGGGTAATGCTCCATGGCCATGAAGAGGGTGTTGAGCACGATGCAGATGGTGATGCCCAGGTCCACGAACGGGTCCATGACGATCAGGTGGATGATCTTCTTGAACTTCACCCACGGGGTGCAGCAGTTCCATATGAGCACTTTATGGGAACATTTGTACCACCACGGTGGGCATTTCTGGTGGGCCTCTTCCAGCTCTGAAAACAGACAGCAGATGAGGATCCACCCCCTCACCTGCTCCTTCCTCCACCTCCAACTTTGAGCCCACCTTCCAAGCCCCACCCCTCAGAGCGCCACACCTCAAGCCCCGCCCTCTCGGGGAGGTTCCCCCCAAGCCCCGCCTCTCAGTGGGTCACCCTCAAGACCCACCCCCAGACCCCGCCCACACGTCCCCACCCTCAATGCTCCATGCCCGCAATGACCAGTCCCTTGAAACTGAAGGTGTTAGTTGCTCAGTAGCATCCGACTCTTGGACTGTAGACGGCCAGGCTCCTCTTGTCCATGGAATTTCCCAGGCAAGAAGACAGGAGTGGGTTGCCAAGTCTCCTTATCCAGGGGACTTTCCCGACCCAAGGATGGAACCCAGGTCTCCTGCATCGCAGGCAGATTCTTTACTGTCTGAGGCACCAGGGAAACCCCATAAAGAGCCATGCCCTTAGAAGCCTTACCCCAGATCCCTTCTCCCAATGCTCTACTTCAGCTCCACCTTTTCAGTACACAATCCCCCTATGCAGTAGGGTGACTTCCATCCACTACCTATGGCCCAGGCCTGCGATCCCGGCTGGGGAGGGGCCCGAGGGCCTCAGGGAGAGGTGGGAGGCCACTGCAGAAGGCTGGGTCTCATTTCCAACTGTTGCTGGCCAGAGCCTCTTAGGAAAAGACCAAGTCCTCCCTGGGGCCTCTGCCTCGCAGTGCTGCTGGCTCCTCCAGACCAGACCCTGCCAGTACTTCCCCACCAGGGTAGCTTCCTGGAAACACGCCCTGTTCCTGCCCCTCCAGCTCTAACCCCTGGGGTTCTGTCAGGCCCATGGATATGCTACGTCTCCTCCAGGTCTTCCAGGCCTCTGGTACCCATGGGAGTTCCTAGCCAGGGCGCGCTCTCATTTAATCCACCAAAAATGTATGAAGTAACTATATTAGTGCCTCCACGTCACAGATGAGGAAAGGGAACTGGAGTCAGGGGCTGTCCCATAGATATGTGGGTTTGAGGGCCTGAATGGGACACCCTAGGGAGGGAATGACTGAGCCTCTCCCCATCCAGCAATTAGTAAACCGGATCTCTCAAAGGCTGCAGGTTGACAGTAACACCCCCACTCCCAACCCAGGTGTTTCTGCAGGTGCCTCAAACTGTGTCTGAGGGCCCAAACTTTCCACAGTGGTCCCAGCAAGGGCAATGTGGAGTGACATCCTTGGCTGGCTCTGCCCAGCATCCCCTGGGGTGTTCTCTGTCAGGGCACAGACATCTGGATGCCCTTCAGGCAAGGTCAGCTGGGATAGAGGTTTGCAAAGTCTTCCAAGTCCTTCCTGCCAAAAGGCAAGACACCTGGGGAGGGGACCCGATCCTTCTGATGTCAGATTTCCCTGCATCTTCCTTTCCTGCATCATTTCCTCCTCCTCCCTCCCTCCCATCCACACACCTGTGTTTCTTCCCATTCATTAATCTTTCAGCCCACCCACCCATCCATCAAACCATCTGTCCATCCATCCGCCCATGCATCCATCCATCCATTCACCTACTCATCCACTCACTCATCCATCCACTCACCCACCCACCATCCATCCATCCATCCTTCCAACCATCCATCCATCCATCCATTCATCCATGTGTATGTCTACTTACCTCTCCTTGTTACCTTAACCTAGTCTCCTGAGGCCTGGGGGGCAGCATGGGGTTTTTTGGGGGGTCTGTGGCTCTCTCTGGGCAGAGTTTGACTTTGACCTTTCGCTTTTACCCAGAAGATATTTGTGGAACAGGATCTCCAGTTTCCGGAACATTGGGCCTTCCTGGTTAGTATTCTTATCCTGTCCTTTCCCATTGCCTTGGCAGCCCACAAGGCCTCCCGGAAGCCCCCAGTTCCCGCTGCAGCCTGGTCTTGTGGCCAGAATTGGGCCAGGTTAAGCCAAGACTATATTTATCACGGCCATTTCTTCGACGCCAATATTAAGTTACTGTCCTGAAGTTGGGCCCAGCCAGGCCCTCCCTGCCCCCACCCCGGGAGCCCAAGTGGCCCGATGGGCAGGATGGGTCTGGGGATGCCGGACACTCACCTTCCATGGCATCGGAAATGCCACTGTCTGTGCCACAGCTTGGCCTTGGAGGCCCCTTCTCCCCTGCCGATGTGTCCACGCTGCCATTGCAGTCTTTGCTGTGTGCTGGGTCCCCGTCCACCTCCCCACCTTCCAGAGCCTGGGCAGCCTTGGCCTGTGGACCAGCAGGGGTAATGGACATAAAGTCCATTACCAAGCCATGGGAATGGACTCTCAGAGCTTCTTCCTGAGTCCTTCAGGCTGGGGACCCCTCTTTTTGGCCTGCATCCAGTCTACTGCAATAGGGGTAGTTGGCGGTGGGGTGACAGGGTAGGGACCAAAGTGACTGAGGATCCTCATCCCTGAAGACCCGTCTCTGAAGCCTTGGCTGGCTCTGCACTTCATGAGATGATTGCTGAATGCACAGCTGCTCCCTGAGGCCTCATCAGCACCCACCTTCCCTCAGCCTGGACCCAGACACTGCCCATAAAAAATCATAAAACCATAGGTATTTGAGCTGGAAGGCTACTTCAGGTTTAACTATTCCAGATTCCTGGTTATATATGGGGAAACTGAAGCACTGAGCTACAAAATACTCTTTCTACTGCCTGGATGCCTCCCACCCCGCCAAACCTCCAACCTGAGCCTTCTGCTCCCCATCCCCTGTCTCGCAGTCCCCGCCCCTCGCCTCCCCCTGCCTCTCAGCCTGCCCAGGGTACCCAGGCTGAGGGGCAGGGAGACCCCTGAATCTTCCCCCCCTCTCCCCTAGTCCAGACCTTCTCCAGCTCCTCCTGCTGTTTTTTGAATTTCTCCAGCATCTGCTGAAACTCCTCTTCTTTCTCCTGATCTTCGGCCAGGGTGGCCTCGTTCTGCTCAGCATAGGCCATGGCCACCACGGCCAGGATCAGGTTGATGAGGTAGAAGGAGCCCAGGAAAATGATGACCACAAAAAAGATCATGTAGGTCTTGCCGGCTGCTCGAAGGGTCTGGGAGTGAGGGAGGGGGAGGAAGTGTCACGTGGCACCCTGCCTGCTTTCACCCAGGGCCCCCCTCCATACAACCATTGCCCAGAGAGGCAGACAGGAAGGATCCCTCACAGAGCCTGGAAGTTTGAGGGCTTTTGAGGCAAGGTATGGCTTTGCAGGTGGCACCAGTGGTAAAGAACCTGCCTGCCAATGCAGGAGACATGAGAGATGTGGGTTCGATCCCTGAGTCAGGAAGATCCCCTGGAGGAGGAAATGACAACTCACTCCAGTATTCTTGCCTGGAGAATCCCATGGACAGAGGATCCTGGAGGGCACAGCCCATGGAGTGGCAAAAAGTCAGACACAACGGAAGTGACTTAGCACGCACGCACATAGATAATTATGTCATCTGCAAATAGAGACAGCTTTCTATCTTCTTCTATGGCCACCCTTGACAGGTTAAACCACATTCTGGGGCATTTCAAAAATATGAACTTGGAACCCAGACCTTCCTGGGCTCCTGACTCAGAGAGCCCTGAGGACCCCAGTCAGACATCCTGAGATCAGAGACCCAGGATAAAAATTGGTGAATGTAGGCTTTGGGGTCAGCTTGAATCCTAGTTTTCCCATGATGCCTGGCACTAGTAACAGCTCAGCAAATAGAAGCTATTATTGTTATCGTTATTACTGTTGTTTATTTATTTTTGGCTGCGCTGGGTCTTCGTTGGTGCACACCGGCTTTCTCTAGTTGTGAAGAGCTGGGGTTACTCTAGCTGCAATGCACAGGCCTCTCATTGTGGTGGCTCCTGGTGTCTCAGAGCGTGGGCTCTGGAGCATGGGGTCAGAAGTCATGGTGCATGGGCTTGGTTGCCCCATGGCTTGTGGAATCTTCCTGGACCAGGGATCAAACCCATGTCCCCTGCATGGGCAGGCGGACTCACCTTCTTCTTTTTTTGACTATTCATTTATTTGGCTGTGCCAGGTCTTAGTTGTGGCTTTTTTTCTTTTACTTTAAAAATTTTATTCATTTTTCATTGAAGGATGATTGCTTTACAGTATTATGTTGATTTCCACCATACATCAACATGAATCAGCCACAGGTGCACATAGCAGGCAGATTCTTAACCCCTGGACCACCAGGGAAGTCCCATTACTATTATTATTAACATGGTCAGTATTAGAAACATCACCAGGGACCGGAAGGCACTGTTCTCCAGACTCAACTTGCCCACCTGCAAACGGTGGAAAGTAAATAATTCTGGGCAGAGCTGGCATCTAAACGACCTTACTGGTTACTGTGAGGAGGCCTGGGAGTCTGTGCTGAGCTCAGATCTCAGCTCCTGAGCAAATGAGGAAAAGGAAGAAAAGGCTGGGGCTCAGATCTGGGCAGGAACCGAATGTCAGAGGTGCCAAGAACCCATATATAGGGCCACTGAGGGGGTGCCTTGGAAGGGATGGCTTTGGTCAGGGTCCTGCCAAGCCCCAGGGAGGCCGTGGAGATGGAGGGAGGTAGGGCTGTGGGGCTGAGGGGCAGGGCAGGGCAGAGGGCCGCTGTACCAGCTGGAAGAGGTTCTCCCAGTAGTCCTGTGTCATGAGGCGGAAGAGAGCCAGGAAGGCCCAGCTGAAGGTGTCATAGCTGGTGTAGCCGTAGTTGGGGTTCCGCCCAGCCTTGATGCACTCGTAACCCTCAGGGCAATGCCTGCGGACAGGATGGGGACTGGTTTTAGGGAGAAAGGAGAGCTCAGCTAGGGGCCACATGGGGGGCACTCCAAGAAGAAAAAAAACATCCTTTAGCCTTGTCTGCATCCTGAAAACACGTGCATGCTCACGAGTTGTCTTTACACCTCCATCTACCCCAGGTTCTCATCCCCAGTCATCCCCCATCTTCTGACAACCCTGGGGCCACTTTTTCCCATTCACCCCCCACCCCTCCCGGGTGTCACTCACCCAGCATCGCTGCTGTTCCCACAGAGCAGGGCGTCGTTGGAGCCCTCCAGGAAATAGAAGTTCCCTTTGGGAGTCAGAGGTCACAAAGGAAACATGTCACTGCACGGACACTGTGGGCACAGTACCCATCGCACACCTGTGGACACATCTGTGTGGACCACAGGCACCAGCACGTGGATGCTCTCGGGGCGCCCCTTCCCTCTCCTCTTTTTTAAAAAATTAATTTTTATTGGAGTATAGTTGCTTTAGTTGTATTAGCTTCCACTGTACAGCAAAATGAATCAGCCACACACACACACACACATATATCCATTGCCACATGTATACTCCATATATACGTGGAGTCCCTTTGGGACTTCTTTCGAAGTCAGGTCACCACAGTGCTTCCCTTCTGGCTCAGCTGGTTAAAAGCCTACCTGCAATTCGGGAGACCTAGGTTCGATCCCTGGGCTGGGAAGATCCCCTGGAGAAGGGAAAGGCTACCCACTCCAGTATTCTGGCCTGGAGAATTCCAAAGGGATCTCAAAGAGTCAGACACGACTGAGCGACTTTTTCACCTGAGCCATACAGTATGTTCTCATTAGCTATCTATTTTCTTCCTTCTCCTTTAAGGGCAGCTCCAAGTCCTAAGCTCTCTGGGTAGATACATTTTACTGTCATACTGCCTTGTATGGGGTATGGTGGGGGTACAGAGGGAGATGGGGGGACATGTACGTGTGTGCCTGGGGCTAGCACGTACCTGAGCAGGACCCCCAATGGAGGGGTGAGTGGGAGGCTAGAATCCAGGATGCCAGGTTGAAGAAGGTGGCATTTCTAAGCTGGCATTTCCATGTCCATTTTCTAAGCTGCCATGAGGAACCGTGTGGACTAGTGGTTTCATGAGAACGCTGTCTTGTGTGTATGCACTTGTGAAGTCTGGGTGTGTGAACAGGACGTGGGTGCCTGCTGCTGGCCCTGCCAGGACGATGGAGAACAAGGAGCCCGCACACAGGGACTGTTGCTTTTCCTAGCAAAAGCTGTAGGATTTTCCAAACAATTTGGTGTTTGCTGTTACGTAAACCCTTTGAGAGGGTAACCGTTCTTTAGTTGCTAAGTTCGGTTTGACTCTTTTGCAACCACATGGATTGTAGCCCACCAGGCTCCTCTGTCCATGGGATTTCCCAGGCAAGAATACTGGAGTGGGTCGTCATTTCCTTCTCCAGGGGTCTTCCCGACCCAGGGATCGAACCCAGGTCTACTGCATTGGCAGGTAGGTTCTTAACCACTGAGCCACCAGAGAAGCTTGGGAGAAGTATTGTAGTCTTTATTTTATAGGCAAAGATTCTGAGGGTCAAGAAGGTGAAATGACTTGTCAGAGGTTACCCAAGCTGTTAAGTGATGGGTTTACACTCAGGTCTTCCCCATGATCTTTGTAAAAAAAAAAAATTATTTATGTATTTGGTCACACAGGGTCTCAGCACATGGGACCTTCATTGAAACATGCTGGATTTTTAGTTGCAGCATGAGAACTCTTCGTTGGGGCACGTGGGATCTAGTTCCCCCAACCAGGGATCAAATCTGGGCCCCTTGCATTGGGAGCATGGAGTCTTAGCCACTGGACCAACTGGGAAGTCCCTTCCTCATGTTCTTTATCTCACACAAGGGGCTGCCAATGGGGCTAGGAAGGACCCCACTGGCCTCCCCACCCTCCCTTCTTACCTTCATCATTGATGTAGGCATCCCAGTCAAAGGTATAGTTGCTGGCCCAGCTCTCCTGGCCGTTCCAGGTGTTGTTGCTGTCCCAGGTGTCGTTGCCGTACCATGTGCTGTTGGTGTCATTGAAGGGCGGGGGCCAGCGCACACACTTCTGCCGCAGGTTTCCCATGAAGAGCTGCAGCCCCACCAGGGCAAAGACGCTCAGGCAGAAGACGGTGAGGATCATCACGTCCGAGAGCTTTTTCACCGACTGGATCAGGGCCCCCACGATGGTCTTCAGCCCTGATCACAGAGAGCAGGAGAGCGTGGCAGGGGGTAACTCGCGGACTCAGCCCCTCAGAGCCTCTGCCTGCTCCATCTCCTTCCAGCCTTGGCTTACTTGGGGTGCTACTTCCCTGAAGCCTTCCCAAATTAGCCCCATCCATCTCTGATTACAGCCTCCATCTCGAGCCTTCCAATGGCCACCGAATCTCAGCCACTAGAAGAATGGACTATGAAGACTACTGGGTGTTGCCTAACACAGGAGAGCAACAACTCACAGGCACACAGTGTAACTTAATAAATGTCACTAAGTCAGGACTCCCAAAGTGTTCATAGAATGCTAATCTCACAAGCTGCGCCCTTCATGAAAGGGGTTCACTCATGTTTGGGAAAGGCTGAACTCTGTAGCACTTCCATAGCTGCTCAGTAGTAAAGAATCCGCCTGTCAATGCAGGAGATGCAGGTTCAATCCCTGTGTCAGGAAGATCCCCTTGGGGAGGGCATGGCAGCCACTCTAGTATTCTTGCCTGGAGAATCCCATGGATAGAGGAGCCTGGTAGGCTACATACAGTCCATAGGGTCGCAAAGAGTCAGATACCACTTAGCGACTCAACAACAACAACTAACCCTGTGGTACCCTTCTGGAGGGTCCTTATGTAGATTATCCTATCAGAGGCTCGGAAAAGTTCTACAGAAACAAAAGCTTTTTAATACCATGTTTCAGCTTATTTGACACAGAACCCTTTCTCTTTTAGCCTGTTCACACCCAAGGAACAGCAGGGTTCACTCTGAGAAGCTCTAGGCTGACTTTGCAATATCGTTGCATTCTGCCCCTTGGAACTGGCAAGGGCATAGCCAGATTGTATGGAATTTCAGGCTCAGGTTCCATCATTTATGGGAGAACCATAACTTCTTCCTTGGGCCTAATCAGGGTGTCTCTCACTTCAATATTTGTTTATTTCCTTTTCTTATCCTGGTATGAAGACAGATGCTCAGCAGCTTCAATCATAAGAGCCTTATGAGCTCTGAGGATGCTGGAAGCGTGGCACGGAGGGCAGGTATTGTGGCCTTGACTTAGTGGCTAACGTGCCGTGTTGCCTTCAGTAATGTCTCCTCTCCGGGGGTCCATCCTTCCTCAACTGCAATTCACAAAGGCTCTGGACTAGAGAAAACTAAGGTAATTCCTAGCACTAAGAAGTAACAACTTCCCTGTCTCCCAGAGCCTGTTCTCCATGCCTTTCAGATCATCTTTCTCTCCTTTTGGAGAAGGGAATGGCAACCCACTTCAGTATTCTTGCCTAGGGAATCCCATGGACAGATGAGCCTGGCGGGCTACAGTCCACGGGGTTACAAAGAGTTGGACATGATTGAGTGACTACACTTCGCTCCTTTAATGAACCTTCTCCAGTTTCTTCACATGCTTTTTTGAGGGTCTGGATGATCCAGATTCTATTTATTTCATGCATCTCGATGCATTACTTTGGAACTGCCCTGGCCTCATGGCTCAGCGGGGATGTGGTGTGTTCATTAGGGTGTGGACTTTCCATCACTGGGTCCCTCTGTGTCTCTCAGGTGCAGCGCCCTGCTCTGCCCAGTCTGTTATTTCATTTAAAACATGAACGCTATGCCAGGGCTTCCCTGGTAGCTTAGTTGGTAAAGAATTCCCTGCAACGCGGGAGACTCAGGTTCGATCCTGGGGTGCGGAAGATCCCCTGGAGAAGGAAATGGCAACCCACTCCAGTATTCTTGCCTGGAGAATCCCATGGACAGAGAAGCCTGGTGGGCTACAGTCCATGGGGCTGCCAAGAGTCAGACACGACTTAGGGCCTAAATCACCACCACCGCCTCCCAGTGCCAGGCATGGCTCGAAGCACCTTATGGCTATCAAGGCTTTGAATTCTCATAATAACTGAGTGAGCAGTACTGTCATTAGCCACAGTTTACAGATATGGAAACTGAAGCAGACAGGGTAACCGTTTAACCAAGGTCAAAGTCAGCAAGTGATAGAGATGGGAGTTGAACCCAGGCAGTCTGGCTCCAGAGTCTGTGCTCTAACCACCTTGCTATGCTGCCTCTCAAAGCCCACCCTCCCACTTGGGGCCCCTTCTTCTCCCTGTAGACACATAGGACCCCCCACTCTGTGTCCCGGCTTCGAAGTGGGTGCTATACCACCTGGGAGGGTTATGACCCTGGGTCAGGCTCCCAGAACTTGAGTGCCCCCTTCCAGGCCTGGGCGAGGGGGCAGGCCAGCTGGCCCAGGCAGAGGGCCCCTGCACCTCCCCTGTACCTGGGATGACTGTGATGGTTTTCAGGGCCCGCAGCACCCGGAAGGTTCTCAGCGCTGAGATGTTGCCCAAGTCCACAAATTCCGTCAGGTACCTGGGTGGGGGGTGGGGGTGAGGGCTGTGTCAGAGCCAAGGGGCAGGTAATGGGGCAGAATGAGGCCCAGAACGAGGATTCCCAAGGAATCCTTGTATTTGGGGTTACTGTGGAGATGCAGGGGACAGGTCAGGGACTGCAGGCTCCTCTCGGGGCCTGAGAGGTGGGAAAGAGTGCAGGGGCTTTGCTGAGGAGTGGGGAGGTGGCAAGGGTAGCCCAGCTCTCCCCGTGGGTGGGGGCCTGGGGGCCAGGGTCGTATGTGCTGTGTGGAGGGACACCTGGACGGACAGTCTCCAGGTCAGACCCCGAGAGTGACAACTCCTGGAAAGGTGCAGCCCACTGTCTGCACGTCGGACCACAGCCCTACAGCTCAGCCTCGGAGGGTCACCCAGCTCACTCAGCTGCCCTCTCTGAGGCCTGGCTCCCCTCCCCTCCCTCGCATCAGCCTCCAGACGCCCCCAGGGGCCCCTGCTCACGCCATCATGATGACGCTGAAGTCCAGCCAGTTCCAGGGATCCCGGAGGAATGTGAAGTCATCGATGCAGAAACCTCGGGCCAGGATCTTGATGAGGGACTCGAAGGTGTAGATCCCTGTGAAGGTGTACCTGGCAGGGAGAGGGCGGGCCAGGGCCAGGCATGTCACACCTGGGCCAGGATGTGGGTGGCAGAGGCGGGCCTCCTGGGAGGGAGGGCACAGAAATGACATATGCCACCCACGGGGCTGAGGACATCGGTGAGAGTGACAGTGTGAGCCACTCTGGGGACTTAGGGGACTGATGGAGCGACAGGGACAGTATTTGTCTCCCTGGAACACAGAGCAATGGCCACTTGGGGCATCCTCCAAGGGGAGACACTGGGGAACCAGGGGGGATGGGGGCGGGGCACTTACTCCACGTGCTTGGACCAAGAAGGCGGGTCACTCATGGTCATGAACACGCAGTTGGTCAGGATGGTGATCATAATGAACATGCTGAACAGCGTTGGGGGGAGGGTCAAGGAAAGTGAGGGAGCAGGTGGGGAGGAGAGGAGGACAGAGGGCCTCCTCGCCCAGAGCGCCCCGTTCTTGCCCACCCCTGACCCCTGCCTGCCTTTCCCCGGCCCTGCACTCGCCCCACTCCGCCAGGATATGAGTGGATGAGCACCTTGATGGCACAGCGTCTGACGATGCTGAAGGGGCTCAGGAGGTAGAGGGCAGGCGTGGCTGAGAAGCGGAAGATGGACTTGCCCTTGTTGAGCACGATGAAGGTCTGCGGCAGGGAGAGAGCTATGAGGCCTGGGACAGGCAGACGGATGGACCAGGACAGACAGGTGGAGGGAGGCCTCCCCGGCGCGGACCTTCTTGTCGCTGTAGTAGGGATCCAGATCCTCCAGGGGGATGCCGATGACCTCCGGCGGGGGATCCCCATAGATGAGCGGCAGATTCTTGCCCGCCTCCATGTCGCTGCGCGGCTTCCGCTCGGTCTCCTCGATCTCCATCTGCTTGTTCCGCAACTGCCGGGCCTCCTCCTCCAACACCCGGCGCTCTATGGCTGCCAGGGACTCCCGGGTGAAGGGGCGTAGGCTCTCGGGGCCCAGAGGCACCACGGTGGGCAGAGACGCGTTGGCCATCTTCGCATCCTGGGCTCAGGGGCCAGCAGGGTGGCGGGCAGCTGGGGCAGCTGCAGCGTGCAGCCCCCGGGGTGCTGGGCGGCCACCCCGCCCTGGGGCTGTGGTCCCGCTACTCACCTCCTGCCTGCCCCGGGGCCAGGGCGGGCAGGTTGGTGAGCAGGCGCTGTTGGAACTGGAGGATGTGCCTGCGGGGCCGGGGTGTTGCTGTTGCACAGATGCTGGACACAGAGCATCACCTCCGAGCCCCGCACCACACTCGCCCCAGCAGGGGGTTGGCTCCCCTCTGCACTGACAGAAAACCAACCAGGTCCTCTTCTCCCTCGGGGACTTGTGGCCAACGCCCCCGTGCCTTCAACCACCTCCTGGGCCCGAGTTCTGGGAACTGTGTGGCTTCAGCCTACGGGGAACAGAGAAAACCACAGCAGGCTATACCCCTGTTACTTCGATCCTGCAGTGAGGCAGAAAGGAATAGGATGTGAGATGTGAGGGTAGACCCAGAGGATGGGCCCGGCGGGGTCAGCCTAAAGCAGGAATGGCAAACAGATTTCATCTTGAAGGCTGACATGGATCAGCTGCTCTTGGCTGCCTGGAGATGTGGGCCAAGACCATGTGGGCTGGAGACAGACTCCGTGCAAGGAGACTGCTGGGATTGATTAGTGATGTCTGCCCGGGGCATGAAAGAAGAGGATGCAGTGTACCTGCCACTCTTCACCATATCTGGCCTGGAGGGAGCAGACAAGGAAGATGTGTGAACACCCAGCACCTTGTCCTGAGCTTTGGGGAGGTGTGATGTTGGGTGGGGAGCGGGAAGAAGGAAGATTCCCAGGCTCTGGGGAGAGTCTCAACAGCTTCCTCCTCCACAACCCGTGGGATCTAACCTATGGGCAGGGAGGGGGAACTGGAGCAAGAAAATGCAAGGTGTGTGTGTGGGGCCACGTCAGGAGAGCTTGCAGGTGCTAACATGGAAGAGCAGGATACACAGGTAAGGTCCTGGGGAGAAAGAGATGGACAGTTTCAATGGTGGGGGCAGGACTGGAGCTCCCAGGAACTGCTTTTGGCTGGTGGTCCCTGTATTAACTGGGCAGATAGCGGGGCACCTACCAGGAGCCTTGGAGGCCCATGAGAGCTACACACTGTGTCTCCTGGCCAGTCCCTTGGTTGCTACTACTCCCCTCCTCCCCCAAAGCCTACTTGAGCCTGTTCTTCGTGGAAGGGAGGTAATGGTGGGTCACCTATGGCAAAGGCCCTGGGGAATGACCCACATCAGGAGACGGACGCAGGGACATCTCAGCCACCTGGTCACACACAGCCCTCCCAAGGCCCCCACGGACAGAGGCCCCAGAGATACCCAGGGCTACACCAGAGGGCAGCTCTGTCATAGTGGGTCCAGACGCCCGAGCAGTGCCCAGGCCAGTGCGGGCACTTCCTCAGGCTTGGTCAACAGGTGGGGAGGGTGGCCTGGGGAGCGGCTGGAACCATTGGGCAGAGCAGGCCACACACCACTCCCCCCCACCGCCTGACTGCCCAGCTGCTCCCTCCCATCATCCGGGGAGTCGTGTTTCCACGGGGATGACTTTGCTCATTCCTGCCCACCCCATCCCTCAGCTGCTCATCGGCCCTGTCGTGTGCGTGGGAGTGTGTCTGCATGGACACACACATGTGCATTCGTGCACACACACAAGTGTGCATACCCAGCTTGAAACCCCTTCTCACACTGACCCCACAGTTGTACCACCAGTTGCCTCACACCTTCTCTCCTTCATCCCCATCACTGGTCCCACGTATGTGTCCGAACAGAAGACATTGACCTGCCAGATGGACCATGGCCAACGAGCACCCTCCCAGTTCATGGGCCCCACTTGGCACAATTCTCTGGCCTGATGCTGCTCCCTCCCTCCTTTGCAGGAGCCCAAGTGAAGGAGATCAAACCAATCAATCCTAAAGGGAATCAACCCTGAATATTCATTGGAGGGACTGATGCTGAAGCTGAAGCTCCAGTACTTTGGCCACCTGACACGAAGAGCCAACTCATTGGAAACGATCCTGATCCCTGGAAAGGTTGAGAGCAGGAGGAGAAGAGGGCAACAGAGGATGAGATGGTTGGATGGCACCAACTCAACGGACATGAGTTTGAGCAAACTCCAGGAGACAGTGAAGGACAGGGAAGCCTGCTGTGCTGCAGTTCATGGGGTCACAGAGAGTCAGACACAACTGAGAGACTGAACAACAACAAAGTGGGTTGACAGACAACCAGAGACAAACAGCCCAACTTTGGCCCCAGCACCGGTGGAAACTGCTGGCCAGAGTAGCCAGAGCCCCCAGCAGTCAGACCTGGTGGTTTCTATGCAGCTGACCCTCCCTCAAGCATCTCCCGGCCATAGCCTCTCCTTTTTTAATACTTATTTATTTTTGCCTGGTCTTTTGAAATGTTTGTTTGTGTGGCATACACAGCCTTTAGCTGTGGCATGTGGGATCTAGGTTCCTATGCGTGCATGCTCAGTTGCTCAGCCATATCTGATTCATTGCGACCTTATGGACTGTAGCCTGCCAGGATTCTCTCTCCATGGGATTCTCCAGGCAAGAATATTGGAGTGAGTCGCCATTTCCTCCTTCAGGGGATCTTCCTGACCCAGGGATCGAACCCATGTCTCCTGCGTCTCCTGCATTGGCAGGTGGATTCTTTACCGTTGAGCCACCTGGGAAGCCCTGACCAGAGATGGAACCCAGGCCCCCTGCGTTGGGAGTGCGGAGCCTTAGCCACTGGACCAGCAGGGAAGTCCCCACAGCTTTTGCTCCCGAGAGAAGAGTGCAGGCTCCCCATTGGGCCGCTCTCTCTACTTCTGCTCTGTGAGCTCCTCCTTCCTGCCCCGCTACGGCCTTGTCTGCAGCCTGTTTTTGGTTTTGTTTTTCACAGCGGGCATCTCTCCCTGTGCCCGTCCCCTCTGCCCTGGAACGATCACCATCCCCCTCCTTTCATGGTTTCTGTTCATGCTGTCTGCAGCGGCCCCAAGACAGGTCATGGCTCCTCTTCTTGTGTAGCCTTCACAGCTCTTAGGTCAATGGTGACTCTTGCTCTGCTTGTGTGATGGGTGTCTGTCTCCCCCACCAGAAACCTCAGAGACCTTTGGGGTCACCCTGAACTGGTGCCTGGCACATTGGCACGGGACCCACAGCCGGGGCAGCTAGCCTGGCACCTCCTCCTGCCGTCCCCTAGCTCGCCCCCAGTGGACCCTTCATCCCTCCTTTTGAAATTTGCGCTTGGTCCTAAATTCCCGCCTTCCTCCTCCCCTCTTCACCAGCCCTGAAGCCACTTCGCATCTGGATGTTGTATTATATGAGTGGGTGGATGCCCTCCTTGGCTAGGCCAGTGGAGGCAACGGTTTTGGTTGGTGAGGGCCAAAAGCATCCCAGTGGCACATCTGGTCAGTTCCCAACCTCGCCGAGGCTCCCTCCCAGCACCCACCTGTCTCTCCATCCTGCAGGGGGTGCTTCATCACCCCTCACCGGCTCCATTCAAACAGCCTCCCATCTGCTCCCTGCCTCCCACCTGGCTCCCCTTCAATCCACCATCCCCATTTCTCTTTTGAAAAAATTATTTTAATATATTTATTTGGCTGCGCTGGGTCTTAGGTGCAGTGTGAGGGATCTTTAGCTGTGGCATGTGGGATTTAGTTCCCTGACCAGGGATTGAACCTGGGCCCCCTGCATTGGGAGAGTGGAGTCTTAACAACGGACCACCAGGGAAGTCTCTACCCCCATTTCTAAAGTCACAAATCTGTTCAGGTCACCCTCTGCTTAATCTTTTGCTGGATTAATAATGCATCCATAATGCTTAATAATGCATCTATAACCAACAAAGGCCTGCTATAAAGCACAGGGAACTCTGCTTAATGTTATGTGGCAGCCTGGATAGAACAAGAGTTTGGGGGAGAATGGATACATGTATATGTATGGCTGAGTCCCTTTGCTGTTCTCCTGAAACTATCACAACAGTGTTAATCGGCTAGACCCCAACGCATAATAAAAAGTTTATCTACAAAGTGCATCTGCATTCCTCCATGTGGCTGCCCAGGCCCTCCTTGATGCGAGCCCTACCTCGTCACCCAGCCCTTCTCTACACGCACCGCCCTCTGGCCATGCTACCTCCATTTTCACAAATGGGCCACACTGTTTTTCACTGAAGCCCGTGCCTCCTGAAGCACTTCTTCTTTTTGTCACCCTGGAGAGCTTTAATTTGTCCTTCCAGGCTCAACCTACACATGAACCACCACCTCCAGGAAGCCTTCCCTGGTAACCCTGGCTGAGTGGATTTCTCCTTTGGATCACCTGTGTGCCTGATGCTGAAGAAGAGTTTATCAAATGAATGAATGAATGAGAGGGCTCTTCCAGCTGAGTTATTTCTCCTTTGAGCCCGCTCTGAACTGAAATCATGAGCAGAAACTGGATCTCCTCTGATACGGCTGCTTTGAGCACTTCCCTCCCCCACCTCCTACTACTCAGCTCAAGTGCTGGGTTGTGTAATCCTTGAGCTTCTCCTCGTCTTCTGCCCTTGACCCTGAGATTTCTCCCTCTCCATCAGCCCCTCAGATTTCACCTCCCTCCTCTTCCAGGCTCAGTTACAAGATCCACTATCATAATTACCCCTTGAAAATACCGTTGGGGGACCGAAGATTCTATGCTTGGAATCCTTCCAGACTTCTGCCTGTGTACCTTTTCATCTGCTCTTCATTTTTACCCTTTATTATCCTTTATAATAAAATGCTTTTGAATTATGGCGTTGGAGAAGACTCTTGAGAGTCCCTGGGATGGCAAGGAGATCAAACCAGTCAATCCTAAAGGAAATCAACCCTGAATATGCATTGGAAGAACTGATGCTGAAGCTGAAACTCAAATACTTTGGCTACCTGATGCGAAGGGCTGACTCATTGGAAAAGATTGAGGGCAGGAGGAGAAGGGGGCAACAGAGGACAAGATGGTTGGATGCCATCATTGCCTCGATG